CCTCCCCCCTCGCTCCCCCTCCCCCCTTTGCGGTTCCCAGCTTGAGAGGCCTTGGAGTCTTCCGCCCCTCCCCCCATGGCAACGGCGCGCGGCCTTTTGCTTTCGGGTCCGCGCGCCCTCGGCGGGATCGCGGTACGGGAGACTTGGCCTCTCGCCTCTTCTCCACCTGCGGCTGAGGTGACCCTCGCTCCCGCATTTTCCCTTTTCAATCTCTAAAGTGGCGGGGAGGGGGCGGCCGCGGCCTGGAGCCGACCTCCTCACCTCCCCCTACTCCTGGCTGGTGGACCCCGGCTTCGGTCCCTCCTGTTTTGGATCTGAGGTACCGCCCCAGCCTCGCGGTTTGTGGGACTTCACGCTTCCCCTCCCCCATCCTCAAGGCCGAAAATAGGCTTCGTGGCCCAGCGAGCCTCCTGCAGGCCTGAGCTTAGAGGTCGGGATTTGGACTGTTCCAACTCGTTAGTATCCGCGGTGGGATGGGGTGGGGGGAGTCGATCCCTCAATTTTAAAAAGAAAAACAGCCCAACGTTTTCAGTCTGCGTGTCCAAGGTGACCATGTGCTCCTTTTTTACCCCGTTTTTAAAGCATGTCCCACAAAGTATTCAAGGTAGGGAGGCTTTTAGAGCTTCGCAATGGGAAGAAAATCTTGGCTTGTGTTCAGCCATTACTTGACACGAAATGGTGTTTCTGTTTTTACGGCTCTTCTAAGATGTCTTTGAATCAACTCTGGAGACGTCTATCGCTTTCCCTCCTTTGTAGCCGGTCGGTGCCCTGTCCTGGGTTAATATTTTAGTTTTGCGGGTCCCACAGTGCCTACGGTGCCTCAGCGCTGAGCTCGCAGTATTTTACCTAACGTCCTTTCCTGGACACACTGCTGTCCTCTGGTTCCGTTTCTTTTCTTGAGTATCTTAGGAGTAAATTTCTATCTCCTTCCTATTTTGATATTCTGGTAATTTTCCGAAATACATTTTTTTCTTGCTGAGGCTTGCAGACCTAGTATGGACTCTGGTTTAAGAGTTGCCTGGTTTTGGTAGTTTGTGTTTTTTCCATTTAGGTTTGGCACTGCCTTGGATGCTGGGTGGACCCCCCCCCTCCCCTTTTAAAGTTATTCCATAAAAGTTCTTTAAAATGTGATTAATAACCTTTGCTAAGCTTTCTTCAGGTAGGGAGTTGGGGGGATTTTTGTGTGAAGTGGTATGGAAGTGTGGGTGAATGCTTAGGTTGAAGAACTGCTTAGAAGCCTTTTGCAAAGGAAGCAGAAATTAGGGTTTGGGGAAGCTGTAAGGCTCCAGATTGAGAGTAGGGAAGGATTGGATTTAGAATATTGATTGGTTGGAAGGCAAAGAAACACATTTCTTAGGCTGGAAAGAGGTCCCTTTTCCCCCCGAATTTACACTTGCCTTTCTTAGATTTAGCCTCATCTGCCACTACTTCACATTGGTGGAGTTAGCGTTCTTGCTTTTTTTTTTTTTCTTTTTCTTTTTCCTCGGGTCAGCTATTGGGATTGGGTAGGACTCAGGCTTGAGGGTGGATGGGGCAAAAGGGCATCTGGGTGTTTCCTTTCCACTCATCTGCCCATATTTTCTTTTTTCTCCACATTTTGGTGTCTTCAGGCATTTGTATACCTCTGGAATTTTATAGATGGCAGCCTTCCCTTTATCCAGGTCCATCTCATTTTCCATCTGCTAAATAACCTCTCCACTTTCCTTGTTCTTGTATTTTTCTATGGTAATTTTCTCTCACACATAGTTTGAGAACCAACCTTGGAGAAGATATGTTAGAGAAAGAACTAAGAACATATATAGTAAGAGACGAGTTTAGAGAATGAGTAGTTAGTCAGAAAAACTAGGGGGACAAGTTGAGAAGATAGAACCTGGCAGGAAATCTAGGCTTAACTTGAGAAGAATAAGGCAGGACTAGGAGAAAAAAAACTAGGAAATGCCATACCAGGAGATTGGCAGGGAAAGTCAGTAGTTGGACATTAATGAGAGTGAGGTATAGAGATCGAAGTTTTTAGGTATCTTTTTGAGAAAGTATAAGGATAGTTGAAACAGAAAAGGCTAGTTTGATGTGTTTAAATAAAGCATTGAGTTGAAAACAGGTAATATTTAACAAAAGCTAGCCAGACTTTGTGGAGTTGCAAGTCATGTGGTAAACCTTCCTGGGAAGGAAACTGAAGGAGTAAATATCACTAGTTGGTAGAAGCTATACATACTTGGAATCAAAGAAATGGCTCACCCTTCTCAGATTAGGTATATATAAGCTTCTACAATTCACCTGTGTTTCTGAATACGCATCCTGGCCTGTAGTTTGGGTGTGAAGACTGCATAGGACACTGGGTTTATATTAGCCAGCCAGTCTAGTTAGTTACCCATTTTGTGTTTGTTAAAGTTAGCCTGAAATTTTTAGTTATTCTCTTGGAGAAGGTGTCTTTGAAAATGGACTTTTAGGTACTTCTGTATCTGTTGTGTGTCGTGCCTTTGGAGGACTCACTGAGTTACCAGTGGTTATGTGTTAAGAGTTATTTGGTGGAGATGCCATTTGTGTATATTGTGGCCAAAGATGAATAAAGGGATAGTGTGGAGAGATTTGAGAGAAATGGGATTCTTGTTTGGGTAGAGAAAAGGAGATAAAGATAAAAAGGAAGAATGATTTAGAATTGGTGGAAGTACATTGGAAGAAAGTACATTTAAAAAACTAGACCATGATTTGGTGGAAAGGATGAGGTGTGGGGAGAATGAAGGGCTTTGTTAGACCAGCAGAATGAGGAGGCATCATTCTGCTTATGGAGAGTTCAGTGTGAGGTTAAGCATTGAACTAGGGACAAAGAGCAAAGAGAGCAGCAATATGGGAGATTATGTGGTAAATGGTTAGTTTGGGCCAGGGGCCTGACCCATGTCTCCCGGCTCCCCCCCAGGAGCGGTGGTGCCCCTGGGCACAGGGCCATGTACAACGGGATCGGGCTGCCGACGCCCCGGGGCAGCGGCACCAACGGCTACGTCCAGCGCAACCTGTCCCTGGTGAGGGGCCGCCGGGGTGAGCGGCCTGACTACAAGGGAGAGGAGGAACTGCGGCGCCTGGAGGCTGCCCTGGTGAAGCGGCCTAATCCTGACATCCTGGACCACGAGCGCAAGCGGCGCGTGGAGCTGCGATGCCTCGAGCTGGAGGAGATGATGGAAGAGCAGGGGTGAGGGAATGGGTAGGGGCAAGCCAAGCACTGAGTGAGTGCAGAGATGGGTGTTAGGTGGGATGTGTGGAAGAAACTTAGAGCTGGTTGAAAGAGTCCTAAAAAGGAGTTGTAGGGGAGGAAGAAAATGAGCTGAAGAATTGAAAAGAGTTAAGAGACAGTGAGTGCATGGTGGGAGGTTAGGAAGCTGTGCCTGGAACATAAATAGCAGTAAGGGGTCTGAATTATTTAGTTGAATCTATGAAGGGGAAGAGGGCCATCAAGGAACAAAAATGTGCTGTATAGGATAGACAGGAATACTAGAATCAGGAGGGACAGCAAGGTAGGCTGGCAGGTGTTGTTACTGGTAGGAAAGAGAAAGGTAGGTAGATTTTAGGGATTGAGGCCTTGGAAAGTGGCAAAAGCAGACATTGGAATTGGAAGAGTTCTCAAATAGAGGGTATCATGAGCTTGGTAGGGAAGTGAAGTTTGGAAAAGGAGCACGTTCAGGTAGAAAATTGTTTAGAGCAGTGGTTTTCAAACTTGAGGAATGGTACCCCTTTATACTTTCTTTTGGAATCCCAGGAAATAAAAGATCTATTCTTGTTGAAGTTGGAAAGGAGCACTGGGAACTTGGCCAGCTAACACTCCTCTTTGGCCCCTGAATTGTAGCATGTTTAAAACCCACTGTTCTAGAGGGTGTAGTATAGAGAAGGAAAATGATAGGGAAAGATCAGAAAAACTTAAGGATCTTTCTGAGTGACAGTGAGTGAAAAGTTCTATGTGTGTATGGAGGAGGAAATGGGACCCTTATTGGGATTGAGACAAAAAAAAATCTGGGACTGGGGAAAGTGTCCTGTCAGAATCTAACCATGAAGGGATTTGTCCTTCAGGTACGAGGAACAGCAAATTCAGGAGAAAGTGGCGACCTTTCGACTCATGTTGCTGGAGAAGGATGTGAACCCTGGGGGCAAGGAAGAAACCCCAGGGCAGAGGCCAGTGTGAGTGTTGAGCCTTCTTCCTTTATTCCCCAAACTCCATGCTATTCTGCTACTGCAGTCCTGTCTTCTTTACTGGGACTTGGTTTTGCTTTCACCTTTTCACCTTTCTTATTCCATGGCTATTTGGCTCCTGCTTATAATTATGTTATGAATTAGAGCTCTGACGTCTGCTCCCTATATCCTTCAAATTTTGACCTTTTTTTGTTGTTTCCTTTAGGGTAACTGAGACCCACCAGTTGGCTGAATTGAATGAGAAGAAAAATGAGCGACTTCGTGCTGCCTTTGGTATCAGTGATTCCTATGTGGATGGCAGTTCTTTCGATCCTCAACGTCGTGCTCGAGAAGCTAAACAACCAGCTCCTGAACCTCCCAAACCTTATAGGTACTCAAGATCAAGAAACTAGAATCAGCTTCTCTTCTTGGTTCAGAGTACTTTGTTGTTTTGTTATGAGACAGGGTCTCCCAATAGTCCTAGCTGGCTTGCAGTTTGCTTATGTAGACCAGGCTGGCCTTGGTTTCACAGAGATCTACCTGCCTCATGAGTGCTGGGATTAAAGGCATGCATCACCAGGCCTGGGCTATATTGTTAATATTATTGGATTGTTTTTCCTAAACTCTTTAGATTTTCTTGTCCTTTGGTTGAAATTTTTTTTTTTTTTTTTTTTTTTTTTTTTTTTTGTCTTTTTGAGACAGGGTCTCCCTGTAGTCCCAGCTGACCTGAACTCCCTATATAGACCAGACTGGCCTTGTACTCACAGGGATCTGCCTGCCTCTGCTTCCTGAGTGCTGGGACTAAAGGCGTGCCACCACCATACCCAGCCGAAATTTTATTTTTTAAAAATACTTTACATTATTTTAATTTTGTGTGTATATCTGTCCTGTAATGCCCTTGGAGGTCAGAAGAGGGTGTGGGATCCCCTGGAACTAACAGCCATGTGGGTGCTGGGAATCAAACCTGGGTCCTCTGAAAGAGCAGCCTGTGCTCTTAACTGGTGCCATCTCTCCAGCCCAAAATTTTAATTATTTTCCCAACCTAAGGCATATTAAATAGAAGGCCAGGTTATTTTTAATTTGCATCTTTTTGGGTTGGAGAGATGGTTAAGCAGCTAAGAGCACTGGCTACTCTTGCAAAAGGACCTGGGTTTGGTTTCCAACACTCATATGGTGGCTAACAGCCATCCATGACTTCAATTCAGACAGGTGCTGTGTGGGAACTAGGAATTGAACCCCAGGTCCTCTGCAAGAGCAGCCAGTGTTCTTAACCGTCTCTCCAGCCCCAGTTAAAAACCTATATATAT